AAACTCTCACATTTTAATAATGAGACTGAATGTGAATAGACTAAATGCACCACTGAAAAGACATAGAGTGGCAAAATGGATAAAATATCATGAGGCTACAATATATTGTCTCCAAGAGACTCATCTCACCAGAAAGGACGCTCACAGACTCAAAGTGAGAGTATGGGCAGCAAAACTTCAGGCTAATAGAACACAAAAGAAAGCCAGAGTTACAATCTTAAGATCAGACACAATACCCTTTAAGTTATCAAAAATTAAAAAAGATATAGAAGGTCACTATATAATGATAAAAGGTTCAATCCATCAATAAGAAATAACCATCCTAAACATATATGCACCCAAAATAGGAGTACCAACTTTCATAAAGCAGATTCTAGGCAAACTTAAAAAAGATAACTCTAACACTATCATAGCTGGGGGCTTTAATACCCCACTCACAGCCCTACACAGATCATCAAGACAAAAAATCAGCAAGGAGATCCAGAACCTCAGTGTGACTCTTAACCAAATGGACTTAACTGACACCTACAGAACACTCCACCAAACGACCACAGAATATACATTCTACTCATCCCCACATGGAACACACTCTAAGATTGACCGCATCCTTGGCCATAAATCAAGCATAAACAAATTTCATAAGATTGAAATTTTGTCATGTACCTACGCAGACCACAGTGAAATAAAAATAAATATCAACACCAACAAAGTTCCCCCAATACCCACAAAGACATGACACTAAACAGCATGATGCTGAGCAACTCCTGGGTCAACACAGAAATCAAAATAGAAATTAAAAGATACCTGGAAATAAATGAAAATGAAGAAACATCTTACCAAAACCTCTGGGATGCCATGAAAGCAGCAGTAGGAGGGGAATTCATATCTATACAAACAGATGAAGAAAATGGAAAGATCACAAGTTAACAGCCTAAAAAGTCACCTAAGGAAGCTGGAAAAGCAAGACGACCAAAACCTTAACTTCAGCAGATGAATCCATATCAAAATAAAAGGCCAAATCCGGGACATAGAAGACAAAAGATAATACAAAAAAATCAATGAAACCAAAAGCTGGTGTTTTGAAAGGATAAACAAGCTTGATGGTCTCCTAGCTAGACTGACCAGGAAAAAGAGAGAAAAAGCCCAAGTAAACACAATCAGAAACACAGAAGATGAAGTCACAACTGACCATGAAGAAATACAAAAGATTATCAGAGGTTACTACGTACACTTGTATGGAAACAAACTTGAAAACATAAAGGAAATGTAGGACTTTCTGATATCACACAACTTCCCCAGGTTGAAACAGAAGAAGCCAAGACCCTAAATAGACCAATAACAATCCAGGAAATTGACTATGTCATAAGAAAACTACCTACAAAAAAACCCCTGGGCTAGATGACTTTCCAGCAGAATTCTACAAAACACACAAGGAAGAACTGATACCAGTCTTATTGAAAGTATTCCAGGTGATTGAGAAAGATAAAACTTTCCCCAAATCATTTTATGAAGCTAACATCACATTGATACCCAAGCCAGGTAAAGATCCAACAAAGAAAGAGAACTACAGGCCAATATCCTTGGTGAACATAGATACTAAAATTCTCAACAAGATCTTAGCAAACTGGATTCAACAACACATCTCAAAAATCATTCACCACAACCAAGTAGGCTTTATCCCTGGAATGCGAGGCTGGTTCAACATCCATAAGACCATAAAAATAATTGAATACTTCAACAGACATAAAAACAAAAACCACATGATTATATCATTAGATGCAGAAAAAGCTTTTTATAAAATCCAGCACCCCTTCTTGATAAAAACCCTAGAACATCTAGCCACATATTAGAAACCCACAGTCAGCATACTGCTAAACAGAAATTGGAACCATTTCCCCTGAAAACTGGAACAAGTCAAGGATACCCACTCTCACTCCTCCTGTTCAACACAGTTTTGGAAGTCCTAGCTAGAGCAATCAGAGAAGAGAAAGTGATCAGGGGTATCCAAACAGGAAAAGAGGAAATCAAGTTATCCCTCTTTGAAGACGATATGATTCTATACCCAAGAAAATCTGTCAAAAACCTCCTTGCACTGATAAAGGACTTTGGTAAAGTCTCAGGCTAGAAAATAAATGTGCAAAAGAAAATCGCATTTCTATACACCAATAATAAACAAACAGAAACACAAATAAAAAGCACAATTCCATTCACAATAGCCACCAAAAAAAACAACAAAAAACCTTGGCATCTTCCTAACCAGAGAAGTCAAAGACCTTTACAATAAAAACTACAAAACACTGCTCAAAAAAATCAAAGATGACACAAACAAGTGGAAAAATATTCCATGCTCATGGACTGGAAGAATCAACATTGTTAAGATGTCCATTCTACCCAAGGCAAACTACAGATTTAATGCAATACCCATCAAATTACCAGCAACATTCTTCTCAGACCTAGAAACAACAATACAAGAATTAATATGGAAACATAAATGACCACGAATAGCCAAAACAATCCTCAGCAAAAACAAAAGCAAAAACAAACAACAAAGCAGGAGGAATCATACTCCTAGATTTTAAACTTTATTATAAAGCTAGAATAATCAAAACAGCCTGGTACTGGTAAAAGAACAGGCATATAGACCAATGAAATAGAATTGAGATTCCAGAAGCCAAATCTCAGTTTCTCAACCAACTCATCTTCAATAAAACCTCCACCACCAACCACTGGGGAGAAGAGAACTTATTCAGTAAACAATGGGAAAACTGGCTGACCACATGCAGAAGACTGAAACAGGACCCCTACCCATCCCCATACACAAAAATCAACTCTATGGATCAGAGACCTAAAACCTCAAACTATAAGAACGTTAGAAAATGCAGGAGACACACTTATGGAAATTGGAATTGGCAACCAATTCCTGATCAAAACCCCAAGTGCCCATGCCATAAGAACTAAGATAGACAAGTGGGACCTCATCAAACTGACAAGCTTCTACAAAGCCAAAGAAACCATCAAGAGAGCAAGGAGATAGCCCACAGATTGGGAAAAAATATTTGCCAACCGTGTATGTGACAAAGGCCTAACATCTAGGATCTACAAGGAACTCAAATGTGCTGAAAAGAAAAAAACAAACAGCCCCATTACAAAGTGGGTAAAAGATATGAATAGACAGTTCTCAAAAGAAGACGTACGAGCAGCCAACAGATACTTGAAAAAATGTTCAGCCTCACATCAAAGAAATGCAAATTAAAACTACACTGAGATACCACCTAACTCCAGTCAGAATGGCCATCATCAATAACTCAAAAAGTAACAGATGCTGGAGAGGATGTGGCAAAAAGGGAACACTTCTACACTGTTGGTGGGAGTGTAAACTAGTACAGCCTCTGTGGAAAAATGTGTGGCAATTCCTAAAAGTTCTAAAAATCGATCTTCCATATGAGCCTGCAATCTCCCTACTGGGAATATACCCGGAAGAACTCAAATCACTCTATGACAAAGATACCTGCACACGTATGTTTATTGCAGCAATGTTCACAATAATAAGAACATGGAACCAACCATGCTGCCCATCAAAAGAGGACTGGATAAAAAAATGTGGTACATATATACAATGGAATATTACACAGCCATAAAGAAGACCAAAATCACGAACTTCGCAGCAACCTGGATGGACTTAGAGTCTATAATACTGAGTGCTCTTTCAAGAATCAAAGAAATGAGTATCACATGATCTCACTCTTAAGTGGATCTTGAACAACTATGGTAATCTTTTAAGAAAAGGATTGACAGTAGCAGGAAACTACGGGGCGTGGAGGGGCAGAGAGGTGGGATAGGCAGTAGTGGGAATCTGCCTGGGGAAGGGGGAGCATACCTCATCAACAAGGATACACGCACAGTGAATATTTGTATACCTAACCCTGAACTGTACCCCACAATTTTAAAATAAAAAATTTAAAAGTTAAAAAAAAAAAAAAGAGAGAGAAGAAGCTGTCTTTCCTTCTCCCTGGGATGGAGGTTCCTGGGGCTCAGCCTGAATGCTCACCCAGCCACAGTTGAACCGTGGGACTCTGAAAAAAGCTCATTTACTAACTCTGGGCTCAGCATCCTTATCTGTGAAACCAGGAAACTAATTTTTTTCCTACAATCTCCTCTAATCCCAGATTATAGGATTCTAGGATTTCTGTGTTTCTGATTCAAACTAGAGCCCTGTTATAATCATTCTGACTCAGGATTTGCAATATGTTTTAATTCTTGCTTTTAAACATAGATTTAGCCTTAGCTTCTTCCTTGGATTTCCCCAGAGTATCAGACAAAAAAAAAAAAAAAAAAGAATCAGCTCCTTAGAGTTGGAGATTTATTTATTCTAGTAATGAGCATGTTGTAAACAATCAAACAGTTAATTCTCTTTTAAATTGATTTTTGTTACATAGCTCCAGTCAATATTTCTAATACTGTCTTTAACCATACATGAACCCAAAATCTTAATGTCATTTAAATCTTTGGGATAACAGGTTTTCCCAGATTATAAAGCAGTGGCATTTATATTGACTCAGTATTTGTTTTAAAGCATAAGTAATCACTTAATATGATTAAGGTGAGTACAGTTACAGTGCCCAAGTTAATACTTCTGCGCATGAGATTTTTTTTTTTCAACAACATTGAGCAAGTTCTCCCGAGGTATTCTATGTATACAGCCATTGTTCTGTAAATGTGTAAAAGCCTTAGAACTTTATCTTTCAATTACATATAATATGCAACACTTGTTTCCAACACCTGCAGAGAAATTTCCTGGACACCAAATGAAACAGTGCTTTCATCTCATTAAATTAGTATGGTTTCAATTTCACATTATCTTTAGTTGCTTAGCCTGTAGTATTATAAGTTTATTGCTTCTCTTTGGCTATCCTTAAAGTTGAAACCTAAAATCATTTTCTGTTTTATTGACTTGCAGGAGGAAAAAAACTGAAATCATCCTGGTCATTAAGAGTACTTACAATTTTTTTGCCTTCTATTAAGACACTAGAAATATTTGTTTCGACATTCCACAGTCTCACTGTTCCTTTCTGTTCTCTGTAGATGAATTCAGTATCTACAAGAGAAGAAATAGAAAAGAAATATGAAACATCAAGGAACTCACCTAGGCTTCTGATGAACACATGTAGAATGAATTCACTAGATCTGAGAAAAAAATATGCTGCTATTCATCAAAGGGCCTTAAAAATTTTTTTATTTCAATAGCATTAGAGGTACAAGTGGTTACATGAATGCATTGTATAGTGGTGAAGAAACTAAGCTTTAAGTGTGCTGGTCACCCCAACTACTGCACTTTGTACCTGATAGGTAATTTTTCATCCTTCACTCCCTTCCCTCCTTTCTCCTTCTGAGTCTCTAATGACCATTATACCATTTTCTATGCCTTAGCAGACCCTTAGATTAGCTCCCACTTATAAGTGAGAACATGCAGTATTTTGTTTTTCATTCTTGTATTACTTCACTAAGATATTGGTCTCTGATTCCATCTAAGTTGCTGCAAAATACATTATTTTGTTCTTTTTGTATGGCTGAATAGTATCTTGCGGTATTTATTATTTTCTGTATCCACTGATGAGTCAATGGGCATTTAGGTTGATTCCACATCTTTGCAATTGTGAATTGTGCTGCAATAAACATACAAGTGCAGGTGTCTTCTTTGTACCATGACTTCTCTTCCTTTTAGTAAATACCAAGTAGTGGGATTGCTGGATCAAATGATAGATCTATCTTCAGTACTTTGAGACATTTTCATACCGATTTCCACAGAGGTTGTACTAATTGACATCCCCACCAATAGTGCATAAGCATTTCCTTTTTACCGCATCCACACCAACATCTATTGTTTTTAGATTTTTTTAGTAGTGACCATTCAGGCTGAGCATGGCGGCTCACACCTGTAATCTTAGCACTTTAGGAGACTGAGGTTAGAGAGTTTCTTAAGCCCCGGAGTTAGAGATCAGCCTGGCCAGCATAGTGAGACCTTGTCTCTACAAAAAATAAAAAAATTAGCCAGCCATGGTGGCAAGCACCTATATTCCCAGCTACTCGGGAGACTGAGGCAGGAGGATTGCTAGAGCCCAGGAGTTTGAGGCTGTGGTGATTGGTGAGCCGAGACCATGCCTCTGCACTCCAGCCTGGGTGACATAGAAAGACCTTAACTCAAATAATAATAACAGTAATGGCCATTCTGACTGGTGTGTGGTGGTATCACATTGTCGTTTTAACTTGTATTTTCCTGATGATTAATGATGTGGAGCATTTTTTCATATGTTTGTTGGCAAATGGCCCTTTATATATGGTGCAATATACCCAGTTTTTCTTAATACAGCCTCATGTGACACTTCTTTCTGAACCTTCTCCCTCACTCTACACTCTAATATAGAAAGCACCAGCACACACATAAAATATTTGCCACGAGCTAGACTACTTGCTTGGGCAGGACACACAGAGTAGGCATGAAGCACATTAAGAAACCAGCTACCATAATAGGTGAAAGACAATTGACAATTGTTCTTTAAAAAGTACAATTTTCTGTACCTGACACTTTGGAGTAAAACTGTGTGCATGATGCATAATGCCTACTTTGATATCCTGCAAAACAGCCGTCTTCAACTTTTTTGGCATCAGGGAAAGGCTTTGTGGCTGGTGAGGGTGATCATCAAGGCTTAGATTTGCATAAAGAGTTGCAACCTAGATCCCTTGCATGCACAGTTCACAATAGTGTACCCGCTTCTATGAGAATCTACTGCCATGCTAATCTGACAGCAGCCGCTCTGCTCACCCACCAATCACTCATCTCCTGCCGTGTGGTAGATTTCCTAACAAGCCATGAGACCAGCCCAGGTCTGTAGTCGAGTATGTTGGGGATCCCTACTGCAAAACACGCTTTCATTTGACTCACAAGCTCCTTTGCTACTCTGGCTTTGGAGGATTTGGTGGTTCCACTGCCATGTATGTCTTTGAATGCATACATTGTATCGTCAGTGACACTGGTCTTTTGCATATAAACAACCAAGGTTTCTATTCAATTTTCTCCTTAGAAAACTGATACATTAAATAGTTATATATGTGGACATACGCAGGTATACATACTGTGAGTGAGAGGATAAACCTTCTGAAAGGTAAGATTATAGGTGGAAAGGCAAGACACACAATAAGAAAAAGAAAATATACTGTGTTTCTGAGAAACATTGAGACGGGTAGAAACATTGAGACAGTTTTTGGATAAGAGGATTTCATATTATAATAGCTGATAACTGCAAAACATCGTGCAGACTGGATTAATTAAAAAACAAAGTTATAATTAAGTATATCTAGATTTCTTGAGGCAGACTAGCATCTATCAATATAGTAAAACTTTCGTCATTCCCATGCTTCTAGATCAATCCATTTTATGCTTTGTGTAAATCACATTCAAAAGTTCAGGCCTAATGTTACCAATAAATCTTCAGGTGAAATTGTTTTCATTTATTTTCCAAATACTTTGATGTACGAATAAAATAAGTCACATTTTTCTTTTATTTAAGCACACACACCGGGGTAGATTTATCTAATGAGCGATCTCTCATTGAAAGCAGTCACCATGGAAGCCTATCAATCATTTCAGTGAAACTGCCCTTACATAAACTTTTAGAATTTATTTTTTGAAAAGCACTTAAATTTGTCAGTTACATAAGAAAGTTGCAAAAAAGACTACCACTTAGTTTGATTATCATCTCATCTCCATTTATTCACTCGGCTTCACTCTGAGTGAATTTCTAAAGATTAAATCTTCCTTAAACAAGTGAGGCTTCACCACCAGGGATTCCCTTCAGGAGTTCCAAGTTCCCTGCTTCTCCCCACCCCACACTACTAGTCAACCACTTCAACCTCCTGAGTAGCTGGGACTACAGGTGAATCTAATAAAAGATGAGCAAGACCTGTAGGCCCCTTTGCTTATACATCGTCTGCTCCCCCAATGGCCCCAGGAAACAACTGATCTGTTTTGTCATTATATAGGTTTGCCTTTTCTAGAATTTCTTAAAAACAGAACCATACGTCACAGTTTTTTGTGTTTGTCTTCTTCCACTTACCATGATTTCAAGATGTATCCATTTTACTGCATATACTGTTTCTTTCCTTTATATGGTAAAGGAAATTACCATTCAAATTAATATACTGGTGACTATATAGATTGCTACTGGTTGTGGTTTGTATATTTCTGGGTCATATGGTGGTGTTTGTACTTAATGATAAAATGCCAAATTATCTTCCAATGTGTCTGTACCATTTTGTATTTCCACCAGCAATTATATGAGTGACAAGCACACCACTTCCTTGCCATCTGTTGGCATTATCAATTTTTAAAATGTTAGCCACTGTAGCAGATGTGTAGTGGTATCTCTGAGATTTTATTTGTATTTTGATGATTATGGTAATGTTGAGCATCTTTTCATGTGATTATTGGCCTTTAGTAGAGTTTGTTTTTGTTTTTGTTTTTGCAAAGTATCTTCAGATATTCTGACCATTAAAAATTTTTTAAACCTATTAAGTCCTTCATTCGTTCTGGATACGAGTTTTTGTTGGATATGTGTTTTTAAAAAATTCTCTACGAGAGTGTGGCTTTTATTTTCTCAGTTAAATTTTTTGAAGAGAAAACATTTTCATCTGGATGAAACAAATTTTTAATATTTTCTTTTATTATTCATGTTTTATATGTCCTGAGAAATTTTTGCCTACTCCAATGTCATAAAGATTTTAGCTCATGTTTTCCTTTAGAAGTTTAATAATTTTAGATCTTTCATTTAGGTCTATAATCAAATTGTCATTACTTTTTTTTTTTTGAGTTGGAGTCTCACTCTGTCGCCCAGACTGGAGTGCAGTGGCCGCTCCTGGCCACTGCAGCCTCAACCTGCTGGGCTCCGGCCATCCTTCCGCCTCAGCCTTCCAAGTAGCCGGAATTACAGGCATGCGCTACCACGTCCGGCTGATTTTGGGATTTTATTGTTGAGATGAGGTCTCGCTGCCCAGGCGGGTCTTGAACCAGCCAGCTTAGGCAATCCACTCACCTCAGCCTCCCAAAGGCGCGGGATTACAGGCTGAGCCACCAAGCCTGGCTTGTCATTACTTTTTATACAGTATATGAGGTAGGCACCAATGTTCGCTTTTTTCTGGTTCACATCTCATTTGTTATTCCAATGCATTGTTGAAGAGATTGTCCTTTTCTTACTGAATAATTTATTTATTAGTACTTACTTTTTTAATCAATTGAATATATATGTAGACTTTTATTTCTGAACATTTTCTCCATATATCTATATGTCTATTCTGATACCAATGTCACACTGTGTACACTGCTGTAACTTTATAGTGTCTTGAAATCAAGTAGTAAAATGTCTCAAACTTCATTTTACTTTTTCAAAATTGTGTTGACTAGTCTAGATCATTTGTATTGCCATATACATTTTTAAGAGATCTTCTTGATCTCTTCAAAAAAGGCTTTAGGATTAGGATTGATATTGTGTTGAATCTATAGTTCAAGTTGAGAACTATCATCTTAACTATCGTTTCTTCCAATCCATGAACATAGTATATAGCTTTACAAATTTAGATCCTTCTTAGCTTCACTTTGCAATTTTAGTAGTGTCTAATGTACAGACTTTGAATGTCATTTAAAAAATCAATTATAAAATTTTAAATGTTTCTATTATAAATGGAACTATCGTTTACTTTTCATTATTTAATTGTAAGTTTGTAGTATATAAATAAAACTAATTTTATTTATTAATTTTGTGTCCTAAAACTCTACTCAGTGCACTTTTCCGTCCTAGTTCACTTAGAAAATGGACTTCCTATGGTTATAACATACATGATCATGTTATGCAAATAAGAACAGGTCTACTTCTTCCTTTGAAATTAGGTTAATTTTTCTTTCTTGTTTGGCTTTATTGCACTCACCAGGACTATTATTACAATGCTAAATAGGAGAGGTATTAGAAGATATTTTTTTACTTTTTCCCAGTGTTAGGTAATACACCATTGAGTATAACATTAGGTATAGTTTTTTTTTTTTTTTTG